CAGTGAGAGGTCAGAGGTGGAAGGCTCAGCAGGAGAGGAGAGGAGGATCAGCAGAGGTCATGAGAAGGCCAGAATCCAGGGTCAGGCTGTCTGGAACAGGAAGTAAAATGGGCCGAGATGGAGCGAGCCCCCAGTGTGCTTCCGAGGCCACTCCCAACTCCCTGAAACACCCTGCTACGTACTGACCCAATGCCCTGCGCTGTGTATGAGAGCACCTTCTCTTCTGAAACCCCTGTACGAGGGAGGGGCCCCTGCGGAGACCGTGCCCTGCCATCCAGGTGAGCCCTTTCTCCCCCACCCTGTCAGCTGTGTGGGAGGAGGAGGACTCTTACCCTGGTCGAAGTTGAGTTTCTTAGCTGGAGGAGTTTCTCCTAGCCCTTCAATATCCACCAGGTCACTGTTGGCGTCGGAGTCGTTCAGAGCACTGAGTGTCACATCTGGGAAGGGGGCATAAGCTAGGTTCTAGGTTCCCCTGACGGCCTCTCCCCCAGCCCCGAGCTTCCCAAAGCTTCGTGCCTCCCCTCCCCTCTGCCCCTCTCTGGGAACCTCCACAGGGACAGGAAGAGAGATTGACCCTTCTTTGACCCAGGCCCAATTCTCTCACTGAACGTCAGATGGACTTTTAACCCCTAGGTAGCAAGTCCACAGCCCTCACCAGCCTTCTGTTTCTTTATGGGGGGACCCCCGGCCTCGGGGACACTGGAGCTGCTGGGAGGAGGGGCAGCTGGAGGAGGTGATAAGACACCAGATGCCACCTTCTTGGGCCCTTTCTTGGGTGACTCAGCTGGAAGGGGGATGCCAGAATCTTCATATACCTTGCGTTTCACAGTGGCCTTTATCTGAGCCCTGAAGAAAAGAGAGAAGAGGTTAGGAAAGGAGTCATCAGAGAGACTAACAGAAGAAGGGAGGGGAGGTGAAGGGGTTCTGGGAGTCCCTTGAAAAGAATCCAGGTCGGGGCCCCAACCCATTGGGAGGGTTCTCACTTTCCCAAAGTTTTACACTCACTCAGGGTGGGTGGAATGTGGAGAGTGGAGTCCCTGAGCTGAGTAGTGGGAAAGGCCCATCTCCTCATTCTCTTCCGGGAGAGACATCGGGTAAGGCTTGGTGCTTTACAGGTGGATTGGGATTTACTGATCAACTAGTTCAGGATCACCATATCCCTGGAAACACTGCAGTGGAGTCCCCCAAAATTTATATAAATAACCAGGGGACTTCCATCATCAAATACAATAACTGAGCATCTCAGGCAACCTAAATTCACATTCTTGGAAGGACTACCACAGCATTTTAGGAACTTCTGACCAACTGTGACAATTCTGTTCTTTCAGTTCTCAAGGGCATTCTAAAAAACTAGTGACAAAGTAGGGAAGCAGCTGAGCTGGAAAGGAGTTCTGAGGACGATGGAACCTTGGGTAAGGAGGAAGAAGGCTGCCCACCCGCCCTTTTCTGGCAGCCACCCTCCCTCACACTGTCCGTTCCTTGATGACACAGCTGATGTGATTAAGATCGTCCCCAAATCGCTTCACAGCAGCCCTCAGCATCTCTATTTCCGTCTCCGTCCACTTCGCACTGTCAGAAGGGGAGAGGGGCGATAGCAAAAATGGGAGGGGGGGGTGTGGAGCCAGCCCACAGGCTATGCATCCCACAGTCAACCAGCCGCCTCCTTCCGATTTCTGGGACCCCTTCCACGGATGCATAAAGAGGTCCTCCATAGGGGCGGGGGACGGGCGGGAAGCTCTTGAGGGCCCTGCGGGAACCTGGAGGACCCCAATCACAAGAAAGCCACCTCCACCTTAGACACCCCTTTCCACCATGAACGTTAAACGGCTGCTGTACACAGCACACTGAAACCAACTCGCCAAGAAGGGCTTTTCAAACAGACCCACCAACAGCCTGCAGCCGTCTGGGGGAATTCCATGAACTGGGGTGGTTGGGAGTGGCGGTGGTTTGTGGTCGACCCGTTCGCAGCAGGGAGAACTGTGAAATAGGAGTCTGGGCCATAGGCCTGTCTGTATTTTTATCTGTCATTCATTCCCTCATCCAACGATCATTTATTAACACCTACTCTGTGCTGTGCCAGGCACAAAGGGAAACTAACGTCTGTCCCTGTGCTAGAGAGGGTCCGTGTCTGTGACCGAGTCCAAGCGCCCGCTCTCAGCGTCCACGTCCCAGTCCGGGCTCACGTACCCCGCAGGGGAAGAGTCGGCCACAGGATGCAGCTGCATCGTCAGCTCCCCGAGCTTCGTGAAGGCGGCGCCGGCCGCCGAGAAGATCTCTCCGACCTGGGGGCGGGGCAGCGTCACGGGGGGCCGGCGCCCGCCCTCCCCGTCCCGCCTGGAGCCCCTAGCCCCACCCCAGGCTCGGCTCCCGCCCGCCCCCCGCCCGGGGCGGAAGAGCCGCGAGCCAAGTGGGGGGCCCGCCCTCCCGTGGCCGCCAGGGAGCGCTGTCCGCGGGGGAGGTCGAACCTTTGTGGACGCTGACGTCATGGCCCCGCGCGCCTCCTCACGGAGACGCCGCCGCCGCCGCTACACGCGAGCCGGGACCACGGAGAGCAGGGAGACGGAGCGGCTCAGGCCCCCGCGCAGGAAGTCCCGCCCTTCCCGCAGCGGATAGGCTCAACCCTGTGGCTCCCCGCCCCATCAGATGCAGTCGCTTCGACAGCTTGGCGCGCCCAGGCCAAGGGGGAAGCCTTCGCCTCACTTCCGCACCACTTCACTCCACTTCCGCTCAGGGGTCGGGACTCCCCAGGCAGAGGCCGACCTCCAGTCTCAGCCCCGTGCTCGCCCCCACTGAAGCACAGACACAGGGCATAAGAGAGCAGATTCTCTTTATTGAGATACGGGACACAGCGAAGGGTGGAGAGACGGAACAGCCCCCCAGCCTCAACCCTCTCCACGGGGGCCGGATGCCAGAGATGGAAGAAGAGATTCAGTCTCTCGCCCGGGAAACCCAGTCCCGCAGAGGGTGCCGGCAAGGGTGGGACGCGACCCGGGTGACGCGGTGCAGGGAGTCTTTAAATAGAGGAGGGGCTGGAGCGGGGAAGCGCGCCCGGGCCCTAGCGCACCATGTATTCCTTGCGCTTATTGAGCCGAACTTGGCAGAAAGAGAAGCCTCCGAGGAGGAGGTAAAGGCCCGCGGCGATGAAACAGTTGTAGCTGACTTGCTCGTAAAGGTTGTATATGTTCTGGGGGCCATTCCTGGGGGTGGGAATGAAGCAAGGTGTCAAACATTAATAGCAGCCAACGTTTGCTGAGCAGTATGTGCCCAGCACCTGTCTAGGCGCTGTTACGTGTATTACTTTATTCAATCTTCTTGACAATCCTATGGGGTGAGATCTGTCATAGCAGCCATTTTGCAGAGGTGGACTGAGAGGCACAGAAAAGTAAAATACCTAAAGAGGCCACACCTAAAGTGGTGGGTTTGGAATGGCCGCTGAGGTCGGACTCCCTAGCTCCTAACCACATTCTCAAGAAAGCAGCTCTCCTCTCCCTGTTCCCTAACCTAGGGGCCCCAAGCACCCGACCTCCCAGACGTAATCTGACCTCGCCACCTCCCACCTGATCCCAGCCCGCCTCCCCCACCCGAATACTTACTCAAAATCTTTCTCCGTGAAGGGAACGTCCTCAATCAACACAGCGGAATGGACATTGAAAAATATTCCGAGCATTATCTGGAAAAGGGGAATGGGTAGGTTGTTGAATTCAGGCACCTGACCTCAAGTTCACTTCGTAAACCCCTCCCATTTCTAATGTTGCTACCACACCCGTGCCTAAGATGAACCAAAACGAGGTGGTGGTTACTGGATTCGGACTCAGCCACCTGGAACAGGGCGTGAGGTGGTGACATTGAGACAAGTGGCCGAGGCAAGGGTAGGAATAGTGACCAAGCCTTCTCTCCCAGGAACCCAGATTATCGTCCTCCCTGGAGGCGTCATCATCACGGGACAGTGCGCAAGAGGGGAGGGAGAATCGGCACTTCTTCGTATCATTTCTTCTTGAAGTGGCGGTGGGTGGATTACTGGGAAAACAAGGCCCAGCTACCCATTTCTGGAACAAGCACTCTTTCCCCCCATGTCCTCCATTCAACTCAAGCATCTCTCAGGAACCCCACTCTTGTTTATCCTACCTTGAGGGGTCTCCACATTTACCAGCCCCAGCTCCTCCCACTCCAGGGCCCTTTGCTCCAGTTCCCTTTTTTCTTTTTCTTTTGGGACGGAGTCTCGCTCTGTCGCCCAGGCTGGAATGCAGTGGCGCGATCTCGGCTCACTGCACCCTCCGCCTCCCGGGTTCAAGCGATTCTCCTGCCTCAACCTCCTTTAGTGGCGGGGATTACAGGCGCGCGCCACCACGCGCGGCTAATTTTTGTATTTTTAGTAGAGACGGGGTTTCACCATGTTGGTCAGGCTGGTCTCGAACAGTTCCCATTTTTCAATTTCAGTCTGTCTCCTTCTTCGGGGCCTGTAGATACCCGGCCCCTCCGGCCTGCCTGCGGCCCAGAGTTTCCTTGCCTCCCAACCCTCCTAGCCTGGAGCCCCTCAGGCCCTCTCCGATCCTTGCTGGGGAGTCCCCTCACCAACATGATCACTCCCCAGGCGCTGAGGACGATGCCGCAGGCCGCCAGCTTCGGCCCACAGCACAGGAGCGACGCCATGAAGAAGGGAGTCGGGGATCGCCGAGGTGCAAGCGGGCTAGGAAAGCGGTGGGAGAACGCCCAGGATGCCCTCGGAGGGGTGCAGAGGGGGCGTGGCCTAGGCCTCAACCATCCCGCCCGGGGGCGGCAGGAGGACAAGGCTGGACTCTTCTCAGGACTTTCGCGGGAAACGGCGCCGTCCGAAACCGAAACAGCTCCTGGGGAAGCCCTTCTTGACCTCTGTAGCTAGGGCGTGAGTATTGGAAGAGCGAGGGTCTCCGGTTTCTTGGTCCCCCTTCCCCCGCAGACGGGAATGGAAGGGGCTGGCATGTCACGTGACCAAGTCTGTGAGGTCACGTGACGAGGAACTAGCAGTAACCAGGCGTTGGGCAAAAAAGTCAAACTGGCGGAGCTCTTGGGAACTGGGGCGATGGTCTCTTAGGATCGGAGGATTGGAACCATCCGATTTTTACCTGAAATTCCTTAGTCTCTCCTGTGTTGGGGAAATGGTAAGTAAGACAGATTATCACCAACAGAGAGCGTTTCTATCTCTACTCACTCCTCCCTTTTAAAATTGAGATTCTGACAGTATAAAGGAGTTAGGACCCCCTTTTGGGGGTCAGGCATGGTTTTGTGGCTAGAACGCTTTAAAATTGCTTAAGGTTCTTGGCATTGGAACTGTTTCTCCTAAGTAATATTTTATCATCACACTTGAAATACTGTAACTCTCGATGCCAAATTCAGGAAAAATGGGCAGTTAGGAGAAGTCCAGGGAAAGCTGACTGAGCAGGTTGTAAAGGTAAGCAGTCCTGTTAAATGTACATAAAAATGTCACTTTGCTTCTCTACTTTAAACTAGGAAAACTGATAGGTCTTTTGAATAAGGTAGGATATAAGATTTAAAAATATAAATAGGTCATCCTCTCCAAAAAAGCCGTTTGTATGCTTAACTGATGAGTGACAGATCTGTAATAATTATTTAGAAATATGAGTGTCGGGGCAGGCGGATCACCTGAGATCGGGAGTTCGAGACCAGCCTGGTCAACATGGCGAAACCCCGTCTCTACTGAAAATTACAAAAATTAGCCGGGCGTGGTGGCACGAGCTTGTGATCTCAGCTACTCGGGAGGCTGAGGCGGGATAATCGCTTGAACCTGGGAGGCGAAGGTTGCAGTGAGCCGAGATGGCGCCACTGCATCCCAGCCTGGGCGTCAGAGGGAGACTACGTCTCAGGAAAAAAAAAAAAAAGAAAGAAATAGGAATGTTTGAAGAGCACAATTTTGCACTGAGCAAGTTGTACCCACTCTAGTGAGGACAATGACCTCAGAATAATTGAGAGGGATCATTTGACCTTGAGGCCCCAGGACCTAACAAATAAACACTATCATTGACTAGAATAACTTTGTAGTTCTTGTCCATTTATTTTGTGCATATTGTTCTTAAAAGGCTTGTGAAAGATAACTTGGAATGTGACAAACACATAGATCCCAGAGTATTAAAGGGGCTGGGAAAGTAGCTTTGAGACATGAAGTATGTGCCTGTCATCTGGGACTGTTTGGAGAAAGCAGCTATTTTGGGGCAGTGGTTTTTATTCTGCCCCCAAAGCATCATTCTTATTCAGGGACTTTTGGGGTACATGGGTGAACAGGAGAAATATGGGTGGAAGGAAACTGCCAAAGAACCGAGTCAGGAATTTATACATCGGCCACCCGGCATGAAGGTTAGTTCCCGGGAATGGAGAGTTAGCTGGAAGTTGATTTTTCTAAGAAATCCCCCTGCTCCATGATCTTGGATGTTTTGGAAGTAGGGTCAGGGCCTCAGGCTAGTGCAGAGTTTAAGGGCCAAATCCAGTCTGTAGCCTGGCTGTGTGTGTCTCAAACAAAGCACATTTGTTTGTGAATTTTTTTGCATTTTAAATAGTTGAATAAAAACCAAAAGAGACTATTTTGTGATGTAACATTCATATCTGTGTCCATAAAGTTTTATTGGAACACAGTCACACTCATTTCCATGTTGTCTGTGGCTGCCTTCATGCTGTAGCAGGAGAGCTGAGTAGTTCAGACAGTGACTATGGGGCCTGCAAAGCGTATGAAAGGATCTAGTCTTTGCAGAGAAAGTTTACTGCTCCCCTGGGCTAGTGGGATACTAATGTAGGGAGTTTCACTGGGGGAGGAAATAGAGCCTTAGCAGCAGAGACTTTAGTAAAGCATGAAATTCAAGATAGAAATGTCAGTCCTAAAACTGATGTGAAATCTTGCAGGTGGAGTCACTCTAGGGCTCAGATGGTGACACTGTTCTCTATGCAGCTGGGCTTCAGGTATTCATAGGGCCAGTCAAGTTGCTCATTCCGGGCTGTAATCTCCTTTTCCAGGTTTTCCAAATCTGTTTGGAATTGGCTTAGCACAGCTTTGGGCTTGGGGCCTGAGAAATATTTTTCTTTGTGATGCCCCAGAGGCACCTGAGACAGAACAAAGGCTCAGTCCGTTTCTAAAGATGAACGCACCTAGAGCCCAGCCCCCACTCTAATATTTCCTTTCCAACTGTCATTTCCCTCTCCCCAGAGTCCCCTCTCACCATGTCCGGCTGGCGGCGACCCAGATGCCATGAGATGGCCATTTGAAGACAGGCCTGCTGGACATCAGGTAGTGATCCCATCACTGTGGCCATTGTCACGTCTTCCTTGGTGGTGGGTGGAGGCATCCGCATTGTGCATGGGGCATTAGGGACCCAGGCATACCAGTCCAGCTGGAGGAAGAAACTGTAACCCTAGAACCCTGGTACTTAGGGTTTGAACTCCCATCTCTCCCTCAGGTCACCTTGCCTTCAAGACGGACCTGGGCTTTCAGCCGTCCATACCTGGCCCTGGTTGATGGCGGCATGCTGGGCAGTGCACGTGAAGACGCACATGGTGAGGAAGTGGCAGAGTTGACTCTGGGACTGGAAGGAGACAGGGAAACCTGGGCAGGAAAGGAATAGGAGAGGAACAAAGGCTGTTGTTTTGGGATGCCCGTGTTTTAGAATTGATGAGTATTTGTTCATTTTATTTAGACATATCTGCATCAGACATGGGTTTGAGTCCTGGCTCAGTCACTTACACTTAGTTACCATAGGCCAGCTTAACCTCTTTGAACCTCAGTTTTTTTCACCTGTAAAATAGGGATGATACCTACATTATAAATGAGATGGTGTATCAGAATCACGTGGTCGATAATAAATGCTCAGTAAGTAATAATTATTGTCATGGAGGCATTGGGGGCTGAAAAGTTCTGAGTGACCAAATATCCCTTGCCTCAAAAAGTGGTTAAGAATTGAGGGATGCATGGTCGGTGACTCATGCCTGTAATCCCAGCACTTTGGGAGGCCAAGGCAGGAGGATTGCTGGTGTCAGGTGACAGAGCAAGAGCCTGTCTCTATTTAAAAATTAAAAAATAAATAAATAATTTAGGAATGCTTACTCCTATACCCAGACAGAATTACAAGTGTCTGTGTTATAAGGTGGGGAATAAGTCATGGATGTCCAGTGTCACAGCTAGGGGGGCTCCCACAAAGGTTATCTCAGGCCACTCATCTTACAGTGGATATGGGGGCTCAGAGACCCGATAATCTTTTTTTTTTTTTTTTGAGACGGAGTCTTGCTCTGTTGCCCAGGCTGGAGTGCAGTGGCACAATCTCGGCTCATTGTAACCACCGCCTCTCGGGTTCAAGTGATTCTCCTGCCTCAGCCTCCCAAGTAGCTGGGATTACAGGCGCCCACCACCATGCCCGGCTAATTTTTGTATTTTTAGTAGAGATGGGGTTTCACTGTGTTGGCCAGGCTGGTCTCGAACTCCTGACCTCAGGTGATCTGCTGACCTCGGCCTCCCAAAGTGCTGGGAGGCCCGATAATCTTATCAGTTAAGTGGAATAAATACAATTACTCTCATTTCATAGGTAAGAAAATCAAAGCCCATAGAGAATACACTGTCAGGACTGCATAGTCGGGAAAAGGCAGAGGCTGACCTTGAACTCAGGTTCCTGACTGCTAATCCCACAGCATTTTTAATTTTAGCCTCTAAAATGCCTGTTGGGAAAACTAGACAGAGGTGAGCTATGAGAACTGAAAGAGAACAAGGGGGAGGGCAGTTAGTGGAGGTTAAATTAACGTGTGTCATGAACTGAGTATCTTTGGCTCTGAAAAGTTTTTATATTGAAATCTAATCCCATTGTGATGGTATTTGGAGGTGGAGCCCCACAAGATAATTAGGGCATGAGGATACAGCCCTCCTGAGTGGGTTTAATACCTTTATGAGCAGAGGACTGAAAAGTTCTGAGTGACCAAATATCCCTTGCCTCAAAAAGTGGTTAAGAATTGAGGGATGCATGGTCGGTGACTCATGCCTGTAATCCCAGCACTTTGGGAGGCCAAGGCAGGAGGATTGCTGGTGTCAGGTGACAGAGCAAGAGCCTGTCTCTATTTAAAAATTAAAAAATAAATAAATAATTTAGGAATGCTTACTCCTATACCCAGACAGAATTACAAGTGTCTGTGTTATAAGGTGGGGAATAAGTCATGGATGTCCAGTGTCACAGCTAGGGGGGCTCCCACAAAGGTTATCTCAGGCCACTCATCTTACAGTGGATATGGGGGCTCAGAGACCCGATAATCTTTTTTTTTTTTTTTTGAGACGGAGTCTTGCTCTGTTGCCCAGGCTGGAGTGCAGTGGCACAATCTCGGCTCATTGTAACCACCGCCTCTCGGGTTCAAGTGATTCTCCTGCCTCAGCCTCCCAAGTAGCTGGGATTACAGGCGCCCACCACCATGCCCGGCTAATTTTTGTATTTTTAGTAGAGATGGGGTTTCACTGTGTTGGCCAGGCTGGTCTCGAACTCCTGACCTCAGGTGATCTGCTGACCTCGGCCTCCCAAAGTGCTGGGAGGCCCGATAATCTTATCAGTTAAGTGGAATAAATACAATTACTCTCATTTCATAGGTAAGAAAATCAAAGCCCATAGAGAATACACTGTCAGGACTGCATAGTCGGGAAAAGGCAGAGGCTGACCTTGAACTCAGGTTCCTGACTGCTAATCCCACAGCATTTTTAATTTTAGCCTCTAAAATGCCTGTTGGGAAAACTAGACAGAGGTGAGCTATGAGAACTGAAAGAGAACAAGGGGGAGGGCAGTTAGTGGAGGTTAAATTAACGTGTGTCATGAACTGAGTATCTTTGGCTCTGAAAAGTTTTTATATTGAAATCTAATCCCATTGTGATGGTATTTGGAGGTGGAGCCCCACCAGATAATTAGGGCATGAGGATACAGCCCTCCTGAATGGGCAGAGGACAGAGTAGATAGCTAGCTAGCTTGCTATCTTTCTGCTATGTGAGGATACAGGGAGAAATCGACTGTGGGCAGCCTGGAAGAGGGCTCTCGCCAGAACCTGATCTTGAACTTCCAGCCTCTGGAACTGTGAGGAATACATTTCTGTTGTTTGTAAGCCACCCAGTCTATGGTGTGTGGTTTTGTTTTTGTTTTTGTTTTTGTTTTAGACAGAGTTTTACTCTGTTGCCCAGGCTGGAGTGCAATGAAGTGATCTCGGCTCATTGCAACCTCCGCTTCTCAAGTTCAAGCAATTCTCCTGCCTCAGCCTCCTGAGTAGCTGGATTACAGGTGCGCACCACCACGCCTGGCTCATTTTTGTATTTTTAGTAGAGACAGGATTTCACTATGTTGGCCAGGCTGGTCTCGAACTCCTAACCTCGTGATCCACCGACCTCAGCCTCCCAAAGTGCTGGGATTACAGGTGTGAGCCACCGTGCCCGGCCAGTGTTTTGTTGTAGTAGCCCAAACTGCTAGGAGTCTAAGGGACTGTACTGAGAAGAACTAGAGACAGTTTGTTCCTGGAAGGGTGGGGTGGTGCAGCTTCGCCAGGGAGAGGCTCCCTCCAGGGTAAGGATGTTTGCCACATTCCCAGGATTGGCCATAAGGGCTCCCCAGTAAACGTCTGTAGTTGTCCCACAGCGGCAGAGGATGGTATTCAAGGCCTAGATCTGAAGTGTGAAGGGGAGGGGCCAAAGGATGAGTGACAGCAGTCCAGGCTGGGGCCTGTGTGATTAAACCTAAGAGCTCAGCAAAGGCTTTTTCTTCCTCAGAGGTTCACATATGGTAGTGGCTAGATTCTGGCCAAGGGGTGGTTCGGGTGGGAGGGTTGGATTAGCCAAAGAAACCTGAGCCTCAAGGATCAGGGTGCTGAGTTTGGGTTTGAGGCAAAGCATGTATAGGATTGAGCTTGCATCAAGAGCTGACCTTGCACTGTAGCAAGCGTGCGGTATTCCTGGACCCTCTGGGCGTGCTGGACAGTGGCAGGCAGGAAGAGAGGGACGGAAAGCCAGGGTGGGTCCTTATGGGCTTTGGAGGGAAAATCTTCCCATTTACGTCCTCAGTTAGGAAAACGGAACCATCAGGGGAGAATAGGAGCCCAGCAGGGACTGTGCAGACCCCTCTCAGCTGTGGCTCTGGCCTGGTGGGCCCCAGGATATGGCAGTTCAGGGGCATCTGTGACGGGGGTGGGGTGGGACTAGGGGTTGATGGCCAGGGAATCTGAGGAGGACAGTCCTTGGGTCTCTAGAATTGTCCTGAGTTTGAGGAGGTGGGAATGGGATGCGTATGCTTTCCTGTGTGGAGGGAGGAAGGGAGGTGTGATGAGAGGCTGGGGTCCTGTCCCCAGAAGGGCAGGGCTGGGAAGGGGCCCTAGCAGAGTCCCCCAGGAGCTTCTTCTCTCTCTGGAATGGATCTTACCTCGGTCCTGGGCCTGGCACAGCCCCACCTCCGTGATCTCCCGACACCAGGCCTGCAGCTCAGGGTCCCCCCTCACTACGTCATCCCTTTGGTAGAAGAGGCGGACGATCCCCTCCACATACCTGCCCAGGGGGAAAAGGCACTTGAGAGCAGAAGGCCCTGGCCTCTGACCTCCATTCCTCTTTCTGTGGCATCTGCCCAATGCTTCCACAGTATCTGGGAAGAGACCTTGCCTTCGGGACATCCTCAGCCCTCTAAACACACTAGCATCTCATGGCAGATGTGGATCCTTAGTTCTAGGAATTCACACGGTTGCTGTCACACATCCTCAGAAATCCTGATTTTTCCAGACACTTCCCCCAGTCTCCCCCAACAGCTCCCCTCACCTCCTCTCTCTGCCCCATCCCAGTCTCCTCATTTTCAGAGCCACCCCCTGTGACTTCACTCTTCCTCACCTCTCCCCAGGATTGAGTTCTCTGCTTCTCCTGTCTGGACCTTCTTGCTTTTGCCCCATGCTGGCCTCAGGCCAGAGCCCTCCTCCTCCCCCATTCGTCAGCTCATCCTTACCTGGCAATGATCTCCCAGAGCCGTAAAGCATCACGGGCGTAGAGAGCACCTGGGAGTCCCAGCAGGCCCCGGTCAGCTAGGTCGTCAGGAGGACAGAGGGAGCAGTAGGTCAGCTGAGCCGTCGCCCGACGAAGCAACTGGACATGGCCCCCTCCACCTGTGCTCACTGCCTGGGACAGGAGATCACAAGTCTTAGCAGGGGAAACAGGGCTGGAGAACCATCGCATCTTCCATAAAGCGGGGCAGATGTGAGATTTTCAGATATTAAAACATGGGTATACAGCACGTTGGGAGGCCCAGGCAGGTGGATCATGAGGTCAGGAGTTCGAGACCAGTCTGACCAACACAGTGAAACCCCATCTCTACTAAAAATATAAAAATCATCTGGGCGTGGTGGCGGGTGCCTGTAATCCCAGCTACTTGAGGCTGAGGCAGGAGAATCGCTTGAACCCAGGAGGCGGAGGTGGCAGTGAGCTGAGATGACGCTGCTGCACTCCAGCCTGGGTGACAGAGCGACTGTGTCTCAGAAAAAAAAAAAAAAAAAAACATGGTATAAAAGGGACAGGTTCATAGGTTAAGAGTGAGGACATTCACACATGGTCTTGGATCCTGAAAGGGGTAGCTCATGGAGAGATGGATGAGGCAGTCCCATGCCCCGTACCCTCCTCACCTTATCAAAAATTCCTCCATCTGAGATGAGTTGGGTCCGGGCCCGGGTGTTGATTTCCATGGTGTAGCGGATATGGGGGATCAGGAGCTGGAGAGGAGGGGATTGGAGGGTGTGACTGGTGGAGGCCATGCTTGGGGTCCTTCCTGGTAGGGCATGGCACCCAGCATGGCGCCTTCTCCTCTTGATGCTTTTCTTGACAGGCTGGTCTCCTGCTGCTCTGATCACTCACCCTCGTGCTCTCCAACTTCCCTGTGAGTTGGGCCCTGGAGCCAGACTGACCAGGATTTTAACCTACACTTTACTCCTCATTTTGAGACTTGGCCAAGTTAATAACCCTCGAATCTGCAATCTCTTCATTTGTCAACAGGGGGCAGTAATAGACTCTCTTATCTCAGGGGCTGTGGTGCTGCTCACCTAAGGATGTTGGAGAGTGTCCAGTCCACGCAAGAGTCCTGGAATAGTAGCTGTCCGCTTCATTGTTTCCACCTTGAGTATAGGTGTCTTATGAATCAGCCTCTTCTGATTTTCTTTGCTACCTCCTCTGTCATTCACATTCTCTTAAACTAGCCTCCCTGCTTATTATCAGAGCTGCATCTCCATCTTTTAGTTGTTTCACGGTTGGGTTTCTTCAGGGGATGGGTGGGGAGAGTACTTTCGGTCAGAACTAGAAGAGCTGTATTCAGCTACCTGTTTAAGCAAATCTTTTTCCACCTCTACTTAGGCACTGTTGGACCCCTCCTGTCCTGCTTTTCCTTGGCTATTAAAAACGGGCCACCTGGTCCTTACATGCGTTTCTTTTTATCTTAGACTGTTTGTCTTCCTCTCCACGTAGTTAATATGCAGGTTTTAAGCAGTTTTGCTCTTTGTCTGAATTGTTGATGCTGGATGCTGGCAGTGACCCAAGTGATACCTTGGGTGTTAAGATATCAGAGCAGCTCACATTAACCTGAAGCTTTTCAGAAGATTCATGAAAGATGCCGAATGTCACAGAAAGGCCAAAGTTCACATGAGGAGAGAGGATGCCTAAGGATGAACAATCCCTAATAATAATAATTGCAAGAACTAGCCGGGTGTGGTGGCATGTGCCTGCAATCCAGGTTACTTGGGAGGCTGAGGCAGGAGGATCGCTTGAGCCCAGGAATTTGAGACTAGCTTGGGCCACATAGCAAAACCCTGTCTCTACAACAAATAAAAAAAATTAGCCAGGCATGGTGGTGCACACCTGTAGTCCCAGCTACTCTGAAGGCTGAGGTTAGAGGATCGCTTCAGCCCGGGAGTTTGAAGCTGCAGTGAGTTATGACTACGCCACTGCACTCCAGCCTGGGTGACAGAGTAAGAACTTGTCTCTGAAAAAAAAAAAAAATTGCAAGAACTAACGTTTTTTGTGGCATTTAGCTTGTGTCACACCATTAAGTCATTTTAACCTCTAACAACCTCACGATGGAACTTATGAGGACATCTGGAAATTATTGAGGCCGGGGTTCAGGACTAAGACCCCAGCAATACAAAGCCAGAGCCTGCATAGGCCACTGTTAAGAACAGCTGCAGGCAGGCCGGGCGCGGTGGCTCAAGCCTGTAATCCCAGCACTTTGGGAGGCCGAGGCGGGTGGATCACGAGGTCAGGAGATCGAGACCATCCCTGGCTAACATGGTGAAACGCCGCTCTACCAAAATACAAAAAACATACCGGGCTGTGGCGGCGCGCGCCTGCGTATCCACTACTCAGGAGGCCTGAGGCGGGGAAGAAGGGGCGTAAACCCGGAAGGCGGACGCTTGGATGAGCTCGAGTCCGCCACTGGGCAATCGAGCCTGGGCGACAAGCGAGACTCTCCTCTCATAAAAAAAAAAAAAAAAAAAAAACAGAACAGCGCAGCAGTACCCTTGTGTGCAACCTGCCACAGGTCAGCTTCTGCCCCGGGGATGGCATCACTCGTGGTGAGTGGAAGACACGGCGAGAGACACTGAACGTAGGAAAGGGGAAATTGTAAGTGCAAATAGAGGCCTCTCTCTTGTTCGTGGGAGCAGAAGGATGGAGAAGCAGGAACAGCATGAATGGAAGGCAATCCAAATTCCACTCATCAGCGCCT